ATGTGTGTGCACATATGTGCCCCTGTGTCTGCATATGTGATGTGTGCCTGGTGCCCTGTGCACATGTGATGGATGCATGTGATGTGTGGGGTGTGTGCATGGGCATACTGTGTGTACAGTGGGGCTGGGCAGATACTCTTTTTTAAAAAAAAGTTTTTTAATGTTTATTATTGAGACAGAGAGAAACAGTGGATGAGTGGGGGAGGGACAGAGAGAGCGGGAGACACAGAATCTGAAGCAGCTCCAGGCTCCGTGCTGTCAGCACAGAGCCCGACGTGGGGCTCGAACTCACAAACCGTGAGATTGTGACCTGAGCCCAAGTCGGATACTCAACTGACTGAGCCACTCAGGCGCCCCTGGGCAGATACTCTTGAGGGCTTCTTGTGGGTTAATAAATGGGGTGGTTTGAGTAGGATCAGGAAGACCATTGAGGGTGCCAGTGGTGACCATGTGCAGAGGGTAAGTGAGGGGTGTGTAGGGCCAGTAAAGGAGGTGGGCTTCCTGCTGCCAGGTGGGGGGGTGGCCATGGGAGGGAGGGTTGAGGGCTGACTTGGGCTTTAGTTTGAGCACTGGCGAGCTGGGGCCATGAGGGAACGTAGGTTTGGAGGATGTTTGGAGGTTGGATTTCGGCACGTGAATGCCCCCTGTGACAGTCAGGGCTCAAGTCAGCTCTGAGGGCAGAAGTGAGCCGAGTAACTAATGGGACCTTGGGTTCTCCTGTGAAAAGACACAAGGTCTTGGTTTGAAGATCAGACCACTAGAGTAGAGAACTCCCAGTTGTGACTCCAGGTAATTAATGGGTGACCCATTTAACTCACCTTGGAGGATTCATGGGTACGTGGTATTTAAAGTAGTCTACACACATGGGGCGCCTGGGTGGCTCAGTCGGTTAAGCATCCAACTTCAGCTCAGGTCATGATCTCGCGGTTCGTGGGTTCGAGCCCCGCGTCAGGCTCTGTGCTGACTGCCAGCTCAGAGCCTGGAGCCTGTTTCGGAGTCTGTGTCTCCCTGTCTCTCTGACCCTCCCCTGCTCACGCTGTCCCTCCTTCTCTCTCTCTCCCTCTCTCTCTCTCTCAGAAGTAAATAAAACATTAAAAAACATAAATAAATAAAGTAGTCTACACACTTGGAGCAGCAGTCCAAAAGGGAGAAGCTGCCTTCTGTCCCTCATTCCGAGAGCCTGTCTGCAGAGGCCCCTGTTCACAGCAGCTGCTGGTGGCTTCTCCCAGAGAGCTCTGCACCTAGGAGCCCACCTGACCGCTCTCCACACCGGAGGGCTCACTGCACACTCAATTCTCACCTGTCTCAACGTAGCATGGCTCTGCACCCGTGGACGTCTGCGTGGTCCTTGCTGGCGGCTCTCTTGTAGACGGTCCGCAGGGTGCAGCCTGCTGCCAGGCATCCCAGGCCCCGTTGTCCACGTGTGTGGGTACCCCCGGTGCAGGACCGGTGATCTGATGGCCACTTGACTTTGGGAGCTTTGCCCTCCATAGAAGGTGTTTGCAATTGGATCCCTGCCAATATCACGACAGTAGCCCCCCCCCCCCCCCCCGCCCCTCCCAGAACCTCAGGAGAGCGAGCCCGACCTTGGGTGAGCCTTGGGCTGGGTTGCACGACCCTCCCTGAGTGTGAGGCCACGGGAAACTAGGGTCAGAATCTGCTTAGCGTATTGGATGGCAACATGCAGATTCGAGCAGGAAAGCGGTGTTATCCCAAGGATGCGGGAAGGCAAGAGCTGGCGCCTCCTTTCCCCGCCCTGGCCCCTGGGTGACAGAGGACCCCAGCCGCCTGCTGGACCCTCACTGGCCGGCGTGTGAGGTGTGCACGCGAGTCTAAGAGGCCGCTCCGTGTGTACTGAGCCTGCACACAGGTTTCTGGGAGAGCAGGTGTCCCGGTCTAGTTCTGTGTGTAGTTGGGCAGACTTTGTGTACAGGAAATTTGGAGCTTACAGACTTGGGGGTGGGGGGGCTCAGGGACCTGGATCTGGACTGGACCAGATCTGGAATGGCTTCCACAACAATACAGAACTGGTCCTCTGAGGCACCTGTTTCTCATGCTCCCTCTGGAGCTGGGGGGACGGGAGGACCCAGAGCCCCCCACCCATGGCCACACACCTGGGGCTGCTGACAAGCTGCCCGGAGCTGTGGCCCGGGATGGGGTGTTCATGTCAAGAAGCCACCACTGTCCAAGGCTCCAAGTTGATGGCAACTCGTCACAGGGCCTCCCCTGCAGGAGAGACCCAAGTTCTACAGCCTTGCTGTCAGGCAGGAAGCACGGCCAGGAGCAGCGGGAGGGACACGGCTACCTCCGTTCTACCCCCAGTGCCACACCGATGCCAGTGCCACACCCAGGCCCGTGCCACACCCATGCCAGTGCCACACCGATGCGGCAACAGGAGGGGCCTTGCTCGCAGGGGCTCTGGAGGGGAGGGACTCAGGCAGGTACATTGTAACTTTCCAGCCTCACCAAGCAGGAGGGCCGCCTGAAGGTGAAAGGAGCCAGTCCCCACCCAGGGAATTCAGTCTGAGGGAGGGTGTTCTTTACACGTGATTCGGGAACAACTGGTGAGTGCAGTTGCCCACTCTTGTCTCTTTATTATTTTTTAAATATTTTTTAAAAATATTTTTATTTCTAGGAGAGAGAGAGAGACAGCGTGAGCAGGGGAGGGTCAGAGAGAGAGGGAGACACAGACTCTGAAACAGGCTCCAGGCTCTGAGCTGTCAGCACAGAGCCTGACACGGGGCTCGAACCCACAGACCGTGAGATCATGACCTGAGCCAAAGACGGACGCTTAACTGACTAAGCCACCCAGGCGCCCCTATTTTTTAAATATTTATTTTGAGGGGCGCCTGGATGGCTCAGTTGGTTGAGTGTCCGACTTTGGTTCAGGTCATGATCTCACCTCTAGTGAGCCCCCCATTGGCCTCTGTGCTGACAGCTTGGAGCCTGGAGCTGCTTCGGATTTTGTGTCTCCCTCTCTGCCCCTCCCCCACTCATGCTCTGTCTCTCTCTCTCTCAAAAATAAATAAACATTAAAAAAAATAATGTGTAGACATTCACATTTTGAAAAAAAATATTTATTTTGCGAGACAGAGAGAAAGTAGGGGAGGGACCAAGAGAGAGAGGGAGACAGAGAATTCCAAGCAGGCTTTGTACTGTCAGCACAGAGCCTGACAGGGGGCTCGAACTCACAAGCCATGAGATCATGAGCCAAGCTGAAATCAAGAGTTAGACGTTCAACCAACCGAGCCACCCAGGCGCCCCTCTTGTCTCCTTTTTATAAGCCAAGTTTTATTTTTGTTACTTCTAAAGATTTTTAGTTTAACATCAGAGGGTGTTTGCACCCACACTTTGCCCAGGCACTTTACTGCTTTGGCCTTCTTTTTCATAAATGAATTTTTTATTGAGATAATAATTCACGTACCATACCTGCATCCTTTCAAAGTGCACAGTTCAGTGGTTTTCAGTAAATTCACAAAACTGTGCAACCATGAGTGCTACTTAATTTCACAACATCTTCATCAACCCCAGAAGGAAATCCCACATCCAGTTGGAGGCACCCCCAACCCCCTGGCCCCGCGCCTCTCCTCAGCCCCGGAAACCACTAACCTACTTTCCACCTCTGTGGATTTGCCTGTTCTGCACGTTGTATTTAAAAAAAAAATTTTTATAATGTTTATTCTTGAGAAAGAGAGACACAGCACCAGCAGGGGAGGGGCAGAGAGAGACACACACACAGAATCTGAAGCAGCTCCAGACTCCAAGCTGTCAACACAGAGCCCGATGAGGGGCTCGAACTCATGAACTGCGAGATCATGACCTGAGTGGAATCACACAGTATGTGGCCTTCCACGTCTGGTTTCTTTCACTGAACACTGCTTTCAGGGCTCGTCTATGTTGTAGCAGGGTCACTAATTCAGCCTAACAATCCATTGTATGGATACGCCACATTTTATCCACTTGGGTTGTTTCCATTTCTTGGGTATTTGCCCGCATGTTTTGTGTGGACATGTGTTAGGAACTCTCTCGGCTACATACTTCGGGAAGGGAACAGCCGGGTCATATGTCGCCTCTACCTTTAACTTGGAGGAGCTGCAAACTGTGTTCCACGGGAGCTGCGTCTTTTGATCCGGCAGCGTCCGAGGCCCCAGGCTCTGCGCACCCCCGCCAGCACTTACCCTCTGACTTTGTTCTCGTCACTTAGCCGAAGAGGGGGTTTGGTTTGGATGACGTGGAGCGAGGATTCTGTTCTCTGGGGGCATATCCACTCCAGTCCTTCACCTGCTTAGAACTCCTTTTTCCCGGGATGCCTGGCTGGCTTGGGTCCTGGTTTGGGGTTGTGGGTTCAAGTTCCTCACTGGGTGCAGAGGTGACTTAGAAATAAACAACGTGAACTAACTTGACAATAGATACATTAAAGCAAACAAACATGAATAGGACACAGATGTCAATAAACTGATTAAAATGCAAAAAAAAAGAAAGAAAAAAAGAAACTTTAATATTTTCTAAGTTTAATTTTTTGAGAGAGGGAGGGCGCACCCGCGCACGAGAGCGAGCAGGCGGGGAGGGACACAGACGGAGGGGGCTCCGTGTCAGGACCCCGGGGTCACGGCCTGAGCGGAGACTGGACTCAACCCCGAGCCATCCAGTTGCCCCACAAATAAGCTCTTTAAAAATCGTCTGTTTTATGATCTCTTGAGTTGTGACTTCCCTGTTTTGGATACAACTCCCTTATCAGGCGTACGCTTTGCAGATATTCCGACTCCTGCGACGGGAACGGCGCGCAGACGACGAGGCGCCCGCCCCGCCCACCCTCGCGGCCGCCGCAGCGGCCGGCGGAACTCCGCCACGCCGGTCTGCCAGCTGCCCGTCAGCCGGGCCCTCTCTCGGCCGCTCTAGCCCTCTGGCCGTCTCGCCGCCTCTCGCCGCGTGACGTTACTTCCGGCTCGCCGCAGCGGGCGCGCCGCCGCTTCCTCCTCCCGCGGTCCCGGATGCGCCTAGCGGAGCGGCGCCGCCTCGACCGCCGCCCCCAGGCCTCAGCCGGACGCGGCCGGAGTGCGGTCCAGACTCGGGTAGGTGGGGCCGCGGCGTGGCCGGGGACCGTGGGGGTCGGGGTCAGGAGTCTTGTGGTTCGCGCCCGGCCCTCTTAGAGCCCGCCCTCGCTAGGGGCGTGTAGTTGGGGGCGCGCCGGGGTTGGAGGGGGAGCTGCCGGGAGTTGGGGGGCGCTGGCGTGGGGACGCCGGGAGTGGAGGTGGCACTGGTTTGGCGCGGAGACGCGACACGCGGTGATGGGACCGTCGGGGGAGGGCCGCCGGGAGTCGGGGGCCTGCAGGGGGTGTGTGGGGGTCGTCGGGGCCGGGGAGGGAGCGTTGGCGCGGCGCGGAGATGCGGCCCGTTGGGACGGGGCGCTGGCGCGGCGCGGAGGTGCGGCCCGCGGTGACCGGCGCCGGGGCTGTGGGCGGGGGCGCTGGCGCAGCTCAGGGTTGCCCCCGTCAGTGACTGGGGGCCGTGGCTGCGGGCGGGGGGCGCTGGCGCGGCGCAGGGATGCGGCCCGCGGTGATGGCGCGCCGGAGAGCGGGGGCTGGCGCAGAGATGTGGTCCGCTGTTGATGGGGGCGCAGAGATGCGGCCTGCGGTGACTGGGCGCCGGGACGACTTGGGGCGCTGGCGCAGAGACGGCGCCCGCGGCGACGGTGGAAGAGGCACTGCAGAATATGTGGGCGCGGAGACCCGGGTGCCGGGCGGGGGCGGCTCTCCAGCCCTCACTACAGCAGGCCGTGGGGTCCGCGTGCTTCAAGTTAGTTGTCGGCTTGGCTCTAGTTTTGTTTGGTTCTGGGGTCTCCACACCCATCATATTCAACAGAACAGGCATTCCCCCCGCAGGGGTCTTCTAGCGCCAGGCGTCCCACCGTCGCAGACGTGGGAACAGGTGCGGAGGGAAAGTGACTTGTCCAAGTTCTCCTGTGAGGGACACCTGAGTGAATTCAGGTCACTTTTTTTTTCAATGTTTTATTTATTTCTAGAGAGAGAGACAGCGTGAGCAGGGGAAGGTCAGAGAGAGAGGGAGTCACAGACTGAAACAGGCTCCAGGCTCTGAGCTGGCAGTCAGCACAGAGCCCGACGCGGGGCTCGAACCCACGAACCGCGAGACCATGACCTAAGTGAAAGTCGGACGCTTAACCGACTAAGCCACCCAGGCGCCCCTGTTTTTGTATTTTCTGATCAAGTTTTGAAGTGATACACGCAATAGAATGCTTCCGGTAACTTTTTTGAGTAGAACTGGTAAAACAAATATGCTTTTTGAATAGTTGCAGAAAATATAAAAATATATTTTGAAACAAAATTATTATACCACCCAAAGATAAGCACAATTAATGTTTTTTTATGGTCCTTTGTTCTATCCGTGTAGTTTTTCCTTTCTAATTGAGATTGTTTAATGTAATTTTATGTGCTTTTAAAAACATAGCATGAGCACCGCTGTTCCGCCCTGTGCAGTAGTTGCTGTGGGCGCTGCCGTGTCCACGAGGCATTATTCACTGTCTTGTATTGGATCCACCCTTGCTGGGCTGCCCAAGGCCGTGGCTCACGTGTTGTTCTCTTGTTCTCTTGAGTTTATCTTCGCTCCAGAGTGTTTTGTCACAACAAACAAATCCTCCAGCTACCTTTTCTAGGTCTTAGTTTCCTTTTATACCCGGTTTAGGAAGAATCCTGTCCTCCCTGTCACCATTTTCTCTCCCCGTTTTTTTTCAACCAAGTTCAGTTAAGCTTTTAGTCCCACCTCTTCTCTGAAAGTGCTCCTCTTGGGGTCACCAGCGCTGTTACGTCGCTAAGTCTTCCGTGGACAGTCTCTGACCTGGCCACCCGTGGCTTCCTGTTGTCTCCTGGTGGCACTGAGACGCCACCCTCCGGGTTTTCCTTGAACCTGGCTGGTCAATGCCTCCAGTCTCTCTACGTTAAGTACTGAATGGCCTCGGGCGGTTTTCGGGCCGGCCTCCTCTCAGGTCTGTACACCCAGGCGGCCTCATCCTGGGTCATGGCTGTGGGTCCTGTGCCAGCATCTCCTGAACGTGGAGCCCCCGCCTGGATCTTTCCACACCTCGCTTTCACCTGGGTGGGAGCTGCTGCTCACACACTGTTGCATTTCATTTGGAGGGAGCTCTGCGTTTAAGTCCCGCAGGTCAGACCTTTCTGGGATTTGTTTGCCTTGCACATGCTCGGTCTGATCTGTCAAACTAGGACTCGAGCCTGGTTGCTCCTCGCGCTGCCTTTTTGGCCACGGCTATCCTTCCAGCCCTGCCTCCCATCGCTTCCCAGGGCCCTTCTCCTCCCTGCCTTGCCCGCTCCCCTCCGCGGTTCTGCGCTGGAATTTCAACACAGCAGCGGGGTGTTGTTTTTATTTTTTAATGTTTATTTTATTTTAAAATTTTTAATGTTTATTTTTGAGAGAGACAGCCCGTGAGTGGGGGAGGGGCAGAGAGAGAGGCAGACACAGAATCTGAAGCAGCTCCAGGCTCTGAGCTGTCAGCACAGGGCATGATGCAGGGCTTGAACTCGTGAACCACAAGATCACGACCTGAGCTGAAGTCAGATATTTAACCTACTAAGCCACTCAGGCGCCCGCTTATTTATTTTAGAGAGAGTAGGTGTGCGTGCTGTGAGAGAGGGAGAGAGAGAATCCCAAGCAGTCTCCACGCTTTCAGTGAAGAGCCTGACTTGAGGCTCAAACTCACGAACCAACAGATCATGACCTGAGCCAGAGTTGGATGTTGAATCAACTAAGCCACCCAGGTGCCCCTGGTGATGTTTGTTGTTGTTGTTGTTGTTTTAATTTTTAATGTTTTATTTATTTCTGAGAGAGAGAGAGAGAGACAGACTGCATGAGCAGGGGAGGGTCAGAGAGAGAGGGAGATACAGAATCTGAAACAGGCTCCAGGCTCTGAGCCATCAGCACAGAGCCCAATGTGGGGCTCGAACCCATGAACCTTGTGATCATGATGTGAGCCGAAGTCGACGCTTAACCGACCGAGCCACCCAGGCGCCCCCCTGGTGATGTTTTAAAAACAGAAAATATCTTGGTTGGTGAGGTCGAGCCCCGCCCCCATCCCAAGGCTCTTTGCTGTCCGCATGGAGCCCACTTCAGATCCACCAGCATCCTTTCTCTGCCCCTCCCCTGCTCGCGTGTGCCATCTCTTTCTCCTTCTCAAAAATTAATATTAAAACAAGATAAGAGAAAAATCAGATGGTGCACTTCTTTTCTCAAAGCTCCATGCTTTCCCATCTCCCTCAGAAAACCAGCCGAAAGTTCTTGAGGCAGTTTATGAAGCACCTGGTGACCAGGTCCTTACTGTTAACCTCATGTTCCCTCCCCTGTCCCCTCGTCCCCTGGCCCAGCCACACCCGGCTCAGGACCTGGGCATGCCCTGCCTCTGTCTGGAATGCCATGGTCTGACTTTCTCGCTTCAGAACCTCCTCTTCAGAGAGGCTGCTGCAGGACCCGGCGCCTTGCCCGTGTCCCTCACGGCCCCTGTCCCTTCCCTTGCTGCAGCTCTGCCGTTGCGGTTGGCCGCCGCTTACAGCTTTGTGTATTGCCTGCCCCCTTCTGGGGGCGAGAACGACGCTGTGTTCACTCTTGTGTCCCCAGTGGTTCAAATAACGTTTGCAGGAAGTGTGCAGTAAATGCTTATTGAGCAAACATATTAATGAACAGATTCTTCCGTAAAGCAGGTGGGCTTGGTAGGACCTAGGCGTACGGGGGTAATGAATGATTCTAGGGGATGTTGAGGAAGGGAATTCACATGCTTACAAGGGGGAAACTGGCTCTTCCCAGAGGGGCAGACACACACAGGAGGCAAAGCTTCACGTAGGCAGAGGTGAAAGGGAGGGAGTCAGGTGGGAGGTGAGAGGGCTTCGGCCATTCAAGGAAAGAGCCTGTCACCTGACCCTGCATTCAACCGGGGCTGGGTTTCGGCCGCCCATGGCCTCTCTTCACGTGGACCATGTGCGGGGCCCATCCTGTGTGCTGGTAGTGAGTTCCCTCTGTCCGCCCCGCTGCCCCCATCTTTACGTCCCTCCTCTTGCACAGGAGCGATGCTGTCCTTCTCTGTCAGGGGGCTTGTAGCTGCCCGGCATGGCCTCTGGGGTCCCCCACTGGGACCGGGTCCTCCAGTGCCTCAGGCTCCGCGGTCTCAGAGACGCGGTCTGGCCTGTGTGCCCCTCAGGTTGGGCTGCGGCCACAGGAGGCAGCTCGAGCCTCTTTCTGCAGGTGGAAGAGCTGCGTCTTCCTCGGGGTCCCCGGCCCTGCTCCTCAGCCTCCCGAGGGGGACCAGGTGCCCGCTGCCTTCAGGAGACCAGGTCTGGGCCCAGTGGCCTTTGGGCCTATGTTCTCAGCCCCGCCCTCTGTGGCTTCTGCTTTATTTCGGTGGAAATTTTTGTTCTGTTTTGGTGCATTATCGTAGAAATAAATTTTAAAAATCATTTATGTACTGAGTGGGAGGGAAGGTCTTTGCATAAACTCACTGTCATTTTACTCAGCTTTCTGAGAGTTTTGATATATGTTGTGTAATTTCCACGGTTCATCCCTAGCGCCACCAGCCTGCCCGGCTCCTCCTCCAGGCCCCGGCAGCCACCCATCTCTGTCCTTTCTGGGCTGTCAGTTAAAGGAGGTCCGTGTGGACACTCTTGAGTCTGGCTTCTTTCAGGGAGCAAATGCATTTGCTGTTTATCCAGGTTGCTGCACGTACCGAGAGGTGTTTCCTCTGTTGCTGCGTGGCACGGGTACACTACACCCACTCCCCTGGGGAAGGGCGTTTGGGTTGTGGCCACTCCTCTAGTACAAGTAGTGCGTGAGTGATTTGCGTTGTGTGACAGTCACACAGTTCTCATGGGACGGCAGAGTTCCTCTTCGCTTTCCCCCCATTCTTGACTCCCTCCCCAGGACTGGGTATCCATTTCTCCAGGTTTCTTTCTGCGCGTTCGAAGCGGTATCATGGTGTACCGTGGGGTGGTGTTTTTCACAAGGGGCTGAAAATTGGTTCTTGGAAGGAGGGTGAAAAAAATATTAGATAGGACAGTGG